TTTGACACAGAAATAAAAGATCTCACAGGTTTTTTTGCATTCTTTTTACTTCGGTGTAAGGATGAACTTTTAAAATAATGATTATTGGACTATGGTCTCTTGTGGATTGATGGTTTATATTTCTGGAGCTTGATCTTATTCGCCTCTCTTCAGTTCCCTCTTGTGATTTTTCCTTCCTTCCATGCATGGGCCATAGGGGTTGAGTGAAAGGAAAGATTCGTCGGCAGTGAAAGCCATCAGAAAAGGTTTCCTAAAGGAAGTAGTCAACTGGGCCATAAAGGGCAGAAAGGATTCCGGAGTGGTGGCTGGAAGAAGGTAAGATACTCGGTGTGGAGATGTGGTCAGAGTGGAAGCTTGGAGTCAAGTTGTTCTAATAAGCCTTGCTGTCATTCAGTTCCCCATATGTGCCAAGAGCAGGGCAGTTAATCCACATGAGGCAGTATATTATTTTTATTTTCATCATCATTATCATTTTCCCCCCTTTACAGATGGGGAAGCAGAAACTCAGAGAGGGTATGCAACTTCCCCAAAGCCACACAATTTATCCTTGGTGCTGGGATTTAAATTTGGTCCCAAACCCCACACGCCTTCTCCCAAACCATCCCCAGTGGACATGCGGGAGAGAAGCTGTCGATAGGCTGTGGGAGCACAGGAGCCTCCAGCGTCTGGGCGGCGACTTCATGACGCACCTCCACTTCCCGGTCAAGTCCGTACACTTCCCGGGCAGCCTGGCCAGGGACTGAATGGAGCAGGGGAGAGTGTAGAGCTTGACTCTTCCTGCCCAGCAGGGGCGCCTGTAGGGGGCAGTCCTTCTTCCGCATCTCACTGTCACTTTTGGTCTTTCACAGACCTGACCCCCAGCAAACCTCTTCCACTGCCAGCTCTGTCGGTGTGGGGCCCTGAAGGACCCATGGACCCCGTCCTGGTGTATCCCACCCTGCAAGCCTGGCTTGGATGGGAGGGCCCCGGGAACACCCTCCTGCCAGGGGCACATGGCCCAGCACAGCAGTGCGGGGGTGGGGGTGGGGGGAGGGTCAAGGGGTGGACTGTGGAGTGTCTTGAAGGATCATATCAAGCATTGCCATGTGCTAGGCACCATGCTAAATATTTTCATTTTAGTTACCATTTGGAGTAATCCTCACAAGAACTCTAAGAGGGAGGAATTCTTACTATATTTTATAGACACCGAACCCCAGGCCCAGAGAATTTCTTTTTTTTTTTTCTTAATTTTTAATGTTTACATTTGAGAGAGAGAGAGAGAATGAGTGGGGGAGGCTGAAAGAGAGGAAGACAGAGCAGTCTGCATGCTGATAACAGAGAGCCCTATGCAGGGGCTCGAACTCGTGAACTGCAAAATCATGTCCTGAGCCAAAGTCCTACGGCTCACCAACTGAGCCACCCAGGTGCCCCGGGGCCCAGAGAATTTCAACACCTTGACTGTCCAGGTTAAACCCTGTTATAGGCTGCCCAGCCCAGGCAGCCTGGCTCCAGAAACTTCCCTCTTAGATGCATCTCTACAGCTGGATGCCAGGGAGCTCTCTGGGCTTGCCCTGCTGGGAGCGGAAGTGATGGGTGAGGGGGAGTTGTGCACAGAGGGTTCTTTGAGGGCCACTTCTGTCCCCCACAGTTACAGCACTGTCTCAGCCAGGCGGCTCCGTGCTGGTGTGTGTCCCACAGGCCTCAGCGGTGCCATGGTGTCTCCAGGAAGAGGAAGCAGGGAGGAGAATTGCTTCACGTGAACAGCAGTGCCTCATAGAGGTTAGGAGGTCATGGCCAACACTCAGCGGCCCCAGCCCTGCCCTCGTCTGCTCTCTGGCTGTTAAGGATTCTGCCATGCTAATTTTACCCAGTTCCTCTTCTGCCCCGCAATCAGCCACCCATCAGCCGCAGAACCTGTGTACTGTGCCCTGCCCCACCCAGCCATCATTCTGGAAGGGGAGTTTTCTCAGCTTGGTCCGAGAGCTAATGAGGGGAACTGCCTGGCAGAGGTGCGGGTGGCAGCAACTTTCCTTTGTCTCTTACTGTTACTGGAGTCAGACAGACCTGGGTTCAAATCTCTCTGTCTCCTATTAGCTGGGTGTCCTTAACCAAGTTTGTATATTAGATGGTTATTATTATGTAACAAACCACCCCAAAAGTTAGTGGCTTTACGCCACACCCAACTGTGATTGCTCATGAGTTTGTGGATTAGCTGGACAGTTGGTTCCTCCTTGACCTGTCTTGGCTGGATTCCCTGATGTGACTGTGGCCAGCTATGGGCTGGCTGGTGAAGGCCGGCCTCCGCTGGGGTAACTGGACCCTCCTCACATGCTCATCCATCCCCCAGGGGGCTAGCCTGGGCTAGTGTTCATAACGTGATGAGAATTCCCAGAGAAAGGGTGTAAGAGCCAAGGACCTGGCTTCCGCTGATGAGCTGCAGGGTCACGTTGTGAAGACCATGGCCACATGCCACATCACTGAACCTCGCTGCAACTCGGTTTGCTTGTTTATAAGGTGAGAATAATGTCATTTGTATCCTGTGATGCTCTAGTGTTCCCTGTCCTTTTAAGAGATGGCCACTCACATGCTGCCACAAAAGGGGGCACAGGAGAGGTACAGGAAAAGGAAGTTTACTAAACTCACAGAGTCACTGCGGGCTGAGGTCCCGCTGCATGGGGAGAGCGCTTAGCCATGCAGGTGGGGATCTGCAAGAGAGCCAGGGCCCATGGGCAAGGGCCTTTATGCGGGTCCAGGTGGGTACACAGGCAAAAGGCATGAAGGGTCTTCATTGGTCCCCTTTGGTGTTTGACTATCACTAGGTCACAGTCATGGGAGGTAAGAAGGGGAACTTGGGGCAAGGGCCCACCTTACTGCACTGGTACACCTGGTCCCCTAGACTGGGTGCTCATAGCACATTTGTGGGGATGCTGAGGCAGCAAGAAGGTAGGAACTGTTAAAATTTATGATGTACCTAGTAAACCATGAGCTCCATGACTTTGTTTTGAAAGCCAGCCTTATAAAATAAAAACAACCAAGGAGTAGATTCACCTTTGGAGGAAACTATTCCTTCCTTTCCTTGGGAAAGTGTTTGAGTGGGGAGGTCCTTGGTCACCATAATTAAAGCATGATGCAATCCCAGTGCAGAAAAGCTGAGTGCTCTGCTTAGCATTCCTTCCTTCCATCCTTCCTTCATTTTTTTCAGGGAGTCAATCAGAAAACGTATAGCAAGAGCCTGTTGTGTGCTGTGTAGGAAATGCTGGATGTAACAGAGAGAGAAAATGAAGCAACAAGGTTACTGGAGGGCTGTGTGAGGTCGCTTGTCAGGGGCACTTCCTTGAAAGCCATGTGATGAGCGTGGCTCAGTGCCCCAGAGAATGGGGAGCCATTGAAGGCTTGAGGCAGGCATCAGTATGGTTTCTTGGTCATTTCTAAAGATCTCTCAGGCTGCTGCCTAGACAATGAAGATGTGGTGGTTGGTGGAGTGTGGTGCAGGGAAGAGACTAACTGGATGTTCTAAGCATCTGGGCTCTTGGTGCTGTGGCCTGAACCTTCATGGTTGCAGAGACGGAGAGAGCTGGATGGACTGGAGAGACTTTTTGGAGGGAGGGAGGTAGACTTTGTGGGACTGGGTGCCTGGTGGGTGAGGGGTAAGGGACGGGGAGGCATGGTGTTTGACATTCAGTTTCTGTCTTCGTCCCCGATGGAGGGAGTCACTGGCTGAGACGGGGGACACATGAGTGGCAGATGATGAGTCAGGCCTTAGCTTCTTCACCTTGAGACACCCACATGGAGGTGACTTGTAGACAGACCTATATGACTGGAGCCCAGAAGAGAGGTCTGCACTTGGAGTATAGGTTGGGGAGTCAATAGCTCAGAGATGGAAACTAAGGCCATGGATGGGAAGTGTTGAGTGTGTACTTAGGTCTTGAGAAGAATTGTGTATTCCTGCTTACACTTTCATGCTGCTGCCTTCACCGGGAAACAAGTGGTAGAGGGCATCTAGGTGGCACAGCCGAGCTCGGCCCGCAGTGAAGAGGCAAAACCAGGCAGCCCTGCAGCTTGAAGCAGAGCTCCCTGGTGGAGCGCAGCCTGGATGGGCCAATCTCCGGACGATCTGCAGGGGCATGAATGAGCATAAACAATATTTCTAACCTATCAATACTTGGTGCAATTTGTCATGCAGCAATAGCTAACCCATACAGTGAGTGTTTCTGATTAGTTCCTTTTTCTGTTTCAGAAAGTTCAGGTCATGTCTCACCAAATTCCAACTTCTCCGTCCTGCAGAGATCCATCTATGTTTTTATTTGCAGTAGGTAACTCCTGGGCCCAGCCCTTCCATTGCCCCTCCCTGGGTTCTGACCTTGACTCCACTATTTACAAGTGACCCTGGGCAATTTTCCTTGCCCTGAGGCTGAGCTCCTCATGGGTTCAGTGCAAATGATGATACCTTAGAGTCATATCACACATGCAGCTCACTCTCCCAGATTTAACATTTACCAAAGCATTTATAATGCTGAGAGAGAGAGAGAGAGAGAGAGAGAGAGAGAATACTCATGAGAATGCACTCAGAAAATATATAATCCAGGGGAAGCCTAAAAAGGGAGAGGGAAGTCAAGTTTCTCAGAGCTGCTCTCCCTTCTTGGTTTAATTCTGTTGTTCATTCAGTACATGTGTACCAAGCCCCTACATGGGTGAATAAAACAGACAATAGTCCTTTTATTTATGGAGCTCACATCCTAAGAAAACTAATTTTCATGCTTAAAGCCACAGTTCCTATTTATCATGCAATATGCCATCTAAGACATACCAACGTCCCCCTTCACTGGCGGATGGATGGAAGGGAGGGTCGTGCCTCACTTTGACTTCAGGCACTCTTCACTTTCCATGTCGCATTCAGCTCCCCCAAATTGAGACTCCACTGTTCCCCCAGTGAGAACTCAGTGAAATGGGTGCGTTGAGTGGGCTCCTCAGTAATGGATGAGAGGTACAAACTAGTGATTTCAGCCCCAGCCAATGACATTACCAGGTAGCGCTTTGAGCTTTATTAGTGACCCCACCCCAGAGTGAGCCCCCAGAGAGCAGCGGCCCTGCCCCAGGTGAGTTGAGTGTCCCTGCCTGCAGACACTTTGGGAGCAGAGCAGTGGAGGGGCTGTGAGGGGTCAGCTGCATTCCACACCCGCATCCTCACTGTGGTTGCAGTTGTGAGAGCCCCAGCTATTCTTGCTGCAACTCCACAGGGTTCCCTCTGTCCCTTGACAGGCGACGTTATCCAGCCAGATATCCCCAGTGCCTGGATATACAGAAGGCAAGGAGAGAGAGGAAGCACAATTAGGGGCCAACTTCCATTTGGCGGTAGACAGCTGATCTTCCTCGCATCTACTCAGGTCCAAGGTGCTGATTTATTTTCTCATCCCTTTGCACCTTCTCCTTAAAGACGGTCACAACATGGCCTGTCCTGGTCTCTAGTTTCCAGACCAAGCTGAGATGAACACCTGCGTTTGCCTGCCCTGCCTTCCAGGACCTGTGCCTAGCCGTCCTTTAGAGAGTCCTGCCTCACAAGCCCCGTCGGTCATGGAGCGACCTGGCTTCAGGGCCGTGCAGACAGTGGTCCAAGCCAGGTTAGCGGGAGCCCCAACCAAACCCTTGCTCTCACTGCTGGGAAAGGGAAATCATCTCTTTCCTGGGGCCACCCGCCTGGAAGGCTGTCCACCAGGGGCACTGAACTCTAGGACTGTTCGTTCAGTTGCTTAAACCAACCCTTTTCTTTGAACCCACACTCACTGAGTCACTCACAGCCAAAGGGAAGGGCTCAAGGAAAGAAGCTCCCGGCTGAAGACCCACTCACCAGGTGTCATGTTGACAAGGGCCCTTCCCCTGGAGAAGCCCAGCATGCGGCAGAAGACAGTGGCATCTGAATTGTCCCAGTCATCATCGCAGATGGTCCCCCAGGCACCGTTATAGTAAACTTCAGCCCGGCCTCGGTTTCTAGAGCCAATAATCCTGACGGACACTAGGGATTCACCTGGGTGCAAGACGTACATGAGAGACGTGAGAACGGCCTGGGGCTCCACGCAGATGCACTCTCTGCTTCTCTGTTGCTGGAAAAGCAAGCCCCCTGCGTGACCGTCCCCAGCACCAGGGATGTCCACATATGGTACCCGCACAACCTCCATGCACCTGCAGGTGACCTTGCCTTGCCTTATTGGGAAAAGAAAAGGAAGAGGTGAGGGGAAAATAGAGGGAGGGAAAGAGGGGAGGGGAGACACAGGGAAGGAGGGAAGAAGAGAGAAGGAGAAGGAATGGGGGTTCAGTGGGGGGAGAGGATGGGAACTAACTGGCTGTGTTGTGGCTCTCAGCCAGGGGCAGGCTTAGCCAAGGCACGAGCCGGTTAGCTCTTCCCAAACTGAGGAATTTCTCTGAGAATTGGACCCGCTCCCCCTCGCACCTACAGTTCTCAAGTACAGAGTTTCCTCTAAAGCCCAAATTTAAAAGAATAGAAAGAATGATTACCTTTTTGACCTTTTTGTCCCTGTATCCCTTGCTGTCCAGAGGATCCTGTCACAAGGGGGGGAAAAAAGCCCCATACACAATATGAAGGCAACCAAGAAGCCAGGACCTCCTCACCCTTCTTTGCCAGCACTGGGAGGAGGGTGGGGGATGGGGGAAGGTCAGACTCTCTCTTCCAGTATTCCCAGTGACCTGGCATCGTGAGTGCTGGATGTACCCTGGGAGCCGATGACTGAGCAAGACGAAATAGGCTTACACTACAGCATGCAGGATTTAAGCTAGATCAGTGAGGAGCATGTAATAGGGAAGAGGTATGGAGTGGGGAGCAGCTGCTTTGTGGAAAGTTCCAGTGGCCTGGGCACGGGCTGGGCGTCATGCGATCACTGGTCCACATGTCCGCCCAGGACGTGCCTTATTCACCTCTGCATGCTCAGGGTCAAGGGCAGTCCCAGCCCATAACTTGTCCAGGGAGGAGCCAGCAAACCTCTACACCTCTGGTTCTGGAAACTTCCAGACCCCATGCAATAGGGACTCTCCTTAGAACCCACAGATCAGAGACGGAGGCCTTACCTTTCACTCCTGGGTCTCCCTTTTGGCCTTTCAGTCCGGGTGCACCAGTGAGGCCTACGAGGCCCGGGTTTCCTTTGTCGCCCTTCATGCCTGCAGGGCCTGGAGAGGAGAGAGGCCATGTTGGTCAGATGCTTTGTTCTGCTTTCCCAGGGGAACCAAGGACCTTGGTCTTCAGGGACCGTGTTGTCCTTGACCACCACGTTTCGCGCTTCCATGAGTGGGCCGTTTGGGTGTTCAGCCCTGCCTGTGGCCCACCTTGAGGGGCAGTGGGAGGTGGGGCATTGCTCTGATCTCCCCCCGGAATCCCCTCTGAATGCTGGTTGAGCAGACACAGGTAAAAACAGGTGACAGGACTCCAGGGGTTGTGGGTCCTCATTGAACGGTATGATTGTGTGCAAGTTCTGGCCATTGAGAGAACGTGCTATCCTGTGTCTAAGTCCCCCATTCTCCTTTAGCAAGTGAAAACAGGAACTGAATACGCAGATCAGGAGAGAGGCCATGTTGGTCAGATGCTTTGTTCTGGATCAGGAGGAAGAAAGAGGGTTCAAGAAATGCGTCTGGGAAGTTTTACGTTGGTGCCCATGGGGGCGGGACTGTGGAGAAGACTAGAAGGATGCTCTCTGTGGGAAGCGCTGCGTGCAGTGACCAACCACAGGTGGGGGCTTGGGAGGTGATCGATCTAACAGGCTCGTGGGAAGCGGCAGGGAGAGGAGGGGAGGGGCTTGAGGGGCCAAAGGAAAGACAGAGATGGACCATGGCAGGTATGGGGAAGCAGAGAGAGGCCCCACAGCCCACCTGGCAGGTGGAGATGAAGGCCACACAGCTCCATGGTGGGCGTACGGCCTGAAGCTACCAGCTGGCCCAGCTCTCCGGGCCCTTCTTACCCTTTCTCTACCCTCAGCCAGCCCCCTACCCCTACCCCCTCAGGTTACTGAGTTCTGTCGCTCTCCAGGTTTTCCAGGGGAAAGAACCTGAGGCTTGAGGGACAGAGCCCTGGAATCTTAGCCTCAAACAGGCTTGGGCGCCGGCCCGTTTGGGGAAAGGTTATAGCATCATGTTCAAAGTCAACCCGACCTGTCCTCTAAGCGCGAGGTTTTCCAGACATCATTCTGAGAAATTAAAATGAAGTCCGGCCCTTTACCTGGAAATCCTGATTCTCCTTTTGTTCCTTTCTGTCCTTGAAGTCCTAAGATCGAAATACAAAAAAAAAAAAAAAAAGAGGGGAAGATAATAAAACTTAGATATTAGACACTTTTAATCTTAGACAACCTCTACTTTTTGCCTGATTAATGCAGACGGAAAGATACATTGGTTCTCCACAATTGTTTAAAGCCTCCTGAGCAGAGCATAAAAGGAGACAGACTGCAGATAAATGGGGACATGTGTTGAGGACAAATAGAAATGGAGTAGATGAAAGTCTGCCTTAGACAGACAGACAGACTCTGGATTTAGTGGCTGGCCTTCTTCGTCCGATTGTAACGAACTCCAGTGTGTCTAACTCCAGTCCCATTCCTTCCTGCTGCATTTTATTGGAAAGGAATTGAGAGATATTTTGAAAACAAAGTTGTCTTTATTTCCAAAAGCCTGTGGAGGGGACTCACTGGTCGCCAGGAGTGTTTGGGGGCTCTTACCCACAGTGGTTGCTCTGTAGAATTTGTTGGTTTATTTCATCATGGCCCTAATGTGGCATAAGATCTATGTGGCTAAAGGGTCTCATGTCCAGAACATGGAAAAATAATCACTGCCATCATTGGTGATGATAGTATTTGTGGTTCTAATGTGAAAGATCCTTTCTCTCTCCCTCCTTTCCTTCCCTCCTTCCACCCACTCATCCCCTTGTTCACTGACTTTCCTGGAAGACCCACATGAAGAGGAGAGAAATAACAGGTAGGGAATACTTTGCTGGTTTAGCACCACTGTGGTTTCCTTTTTATTTTTTTTTGTAAACTTTTTTAAAGTTTATTTATTTATTTTGAGAGAGAGAGCAAGCCAGTGGGGGGTTGGAGGCAGAGAGAGAGGGAGAGGGCGAGAATCCCAAGCACACTCCACGCTGTCAGTACAGACCCCGATGTGGGGCTCAACCCCCGAATCGTGACATCGTGACCCGAGCGGAAATCAAGAGTGGGCCACTTAACTGACTGAGCCGCCCAGGTGCCCTGAAACGTTGTGGTTTCTTGACTTTTAGCGCCAAAACCGATTTGATTCCAGAGAAACAGGACTCTCTAAGACACACAGACTTGGGGAAATGAAAGCTCAGTATTGCCTGGGAAGCCACAGTTGCTAGAGACGAACAAGAGGAGCACTGTGCTCACCTCCACACGCCCCCAACTGGCGTCCTTCCCTTGGCTCAAGTCCACCTGTGGCAATGACCAGCAGCCTCAGGGAACCCAGTTACCCAACTTGCCCATTGCCTGGGGGAAGTTCCTACCTGGGGAACTTCCTGCCTCTCCCTTCAATGTCTGACTTTCCTAAGCACCTACTGTGTGCTGGTCAATGGGCGGCAGGCGAGGGGCCTGGCGGACCTCTTCGGGATCCCTTTCTGGAATAATGAGCAAGGACATTCCTGGCTCCCAGCAGCCCTTGCGATTATTCCCCTGAGGCCGGGAGCCGCCTGGAAGTAGGTAAGAAACCCCAGGACTCAGAGCTGCTACTGTAGGCCTTGGCATCAGAGAAGCAGGAAGCACTGGAAGGATCTGAGAGGGCAGCGAGTTCAGTCCCTCATGTTAGGGATGGGACGGGACCAAGGATCGGAAGGAAGTTTCTTCTAAGGGCTAAAGGACCCTCAGAGGTCAGACCCTGGCAGGCAGCCCCAGCTCACTCCGGGGCCATTGACACGTGCTGCAGCCCCTCCCTCTCCCATCCCCTGGACAACTCAGATCAAGCCTGTGAAACCCGATAAGTTGTCAGATGTTGCCAACTGTGAAGCCTTCTCTGGCCTCGCCCATGGATGGCACACTCCCTTTCAAGGGAGCAAAGTGGCCAAAGTCAGAGACCCCGGGCTTGCATCTGCCTCTGTGACCTTGAGCCAGGCGCTGCCCTCTGGGAGCTCCACTTTCCTCCTCTGACTCTCCTGGCTGCCTCGGGGCGGGGGGTGGGACACTCGGGAGCCTGAAACGAAGCCCTCCGTGTCATGTGCTGAGCTTCATATCTGGCGTGTGCTCAGTAGACACCGTCCCAGGGACCCCATGGACCCTGTTTTCATGCATCTGCCTCCCCTCTCAGTGGGGAGTGCCTCAGACACTGGCCCACGTGAGTTCTGGGCTTGCTGCCCAATGAGTCCCATAAATGTTTGCTGGTGACCTGAGGTCGCCCAGCAGAGGTGGCAGATGTTTCCCCTCCCCTCACCTACTTCTGAATTGCATGTGTCAAAATTAGAGAGGAGAAGCTACACTCAGAAATAATGTCTTTGGTTGTTAATAAATAGAAAGACGGGCCATACCTTGACTCTTGGCTCTTTGCATCCTAGAGGACACCGGGTTGCAGAAATCTCTACCTCAAGAGTCTGTCCCTGGAAGACAGGTTCAGGGACGCGAGGCCCTGTGACCTCCCCTTATAGTCCCTTCCCGAAGAAGGGCCCAGCTCCAGCTGTCCCCAACGCACCAAACAACAAGCACCCTGTACAGACAGAATCCCCTATTCTCTAGGTCTGTGGTCCCTGCAGCATGACCCCACCCGGCTCATTTCTCACACCGTCCTCCCTACCCCCTTACCCCCTTGGGGACTCTGCTGCTGCCAGCCCTCTACCAGGCACCACGCCAGGGGCTTCACAGGTACTGCCTCATTCCATCTTCCAGCTGCCCTACACGGTAGTGCCATTTTCCTTCTTACGGAAGAGGAGGAAGTCCACAGTCCCAGATGCCAGGTGATTTATCCAAGGTCACACAGGTAGTGTGTGGCGGACTTGAGTTGTAACCCAGGCCTGGCCTCCCCTTGGGTGCTGTAGCTCCCTGTGTCTGGTTCCCACAGCAGCTCACACCTTCCTGGAGTTGCCCTCGGGCTGTCTACCTGCTTCCAAAGACACCCCCGGCCCACCGTGGGCCATCCCGCTCCCCTGAATGAGTAGTCACACTCGGGGTGCATCAGAATCACCAGCACAGGGCTTGCCAGACAAACCAGCCTGTTAGGCTCTACCCGATGTTGCTGATTCAGTGGATCTGGGGTGGGGATCTGAGACTCTGCACTTCTAGCAAGTTCCCAGGTGAACTTTGATGCCATTGGTCCAGAGACCACTGCCTTAAACAAACCTCACTGATGCTTTAAGGGGGCACAGCCCACCTTCTCCCCACTGCCTTCCTGTCTGGGAGGCCAACAAATGCTGGGTTTCTCCTCTTAACCATAGCTAACTGGGTTTTCCTGGATATTGCACACATCCCAAGCTGAGGGGACCCCAAACTATGTATTTGCAAGGTGTTTATTTAGAGAAATGATTTTCTCCCAAGAAAATCATGTAGTTCGAAAGCACTGTCCTCTTACTGTTTAGCGCTCAGCTAGTATTTTGCCTAAAAGCTTGGAATGTTCCCGCTCTGAGGAGAAACTGTCCATTTCAAACCCAGAGTGCTGTCAAACTAGCAGGGACAGGGATATTATTCTAGACTATTCCTCTCATTCCACAGGGGAGGAAACTCCAGCCCGGGGCAAGTTGGGGAGCAAGTCTCCCAACTCTGATTTAATGCAGAAATTTCTAGTGCATTAGGAAACTTTCTTCAATGCTTCCCTGACATACAGGTTAAGTGGAGCTTGGCAAGTCGATGAGTTTAATAACTGACAGATTGAGCTGCGTAGCAAGCAGGGGACCAAACACTGAGTGCCTGTAGAAATCTGCAGCTATCCCTGAGAAATTTAGAGGCAAATGAGAAAAGTTTTATAAGTGACAATTTAGTAATGTGATTTGATAGAATTCAGTAAATTCTGGGGCTAACTCAGTCCTTAGACATGGGGGCTGGAATGAGCTGAGAAACTATATTCACAATGCAGGGCTTAATTGCTATTATGACTAATTCTTTGCTGCTTACCTTCAAAGTAAAATGTCTTAAAATACAGACGAGAAAACGGATTTCAGGTTATTTGCATTTTGGCTTTGCCTCAAGAGGAAAATAAAAGAACATGGGAAATTCAGATTCTTGCTGTATTTTAGACAGGAAGGGATGTTGAGATGCAGAACTTCTAATCAGATCGGTGTTTTGGAGCTGAAATGTTTTGGCTGCTTCTAACATCATTTTATGAGGTGGAATGAGAGAAAGAGAAATGGCATGACCACATGATGAAGCGAGCCCTTCCTCATTTCCAAACAAACTTCAGAACAGCTAAGGGATTTTGAGCTAAAATTATGTTTTTGTGTGTGGGGTTTTTGTGTTTTGCAATTCTCCCCACTTCAAAATCAAATGATTTTGTCATTCTTTGGAAGATCAAAGGTTAAGGGGAGAAACCGAAGTTTGGGGGGTTTGGTAAACTGCTGTTCAGTGAATGCTAAAGGAAATGACCCTGAGAGACAGTTCTGCTGAGTGATAATGCCCGACTTAATACATTAACTGTGTACTTTGTCTTCCCGACAGAAGGAAAAGAATTTCCTCTTCACCATCTTTAATCTGAGCTGGCTCCTTTCTCTCGAGAGGTGTCAGTGAGGGAGGGGAAACATTTCACCAGGATGGGGTGGGGTGTGGTTAGTGGCTGTTCACGGCAGGAGGGGGATCTGGTGACAGAGCCAGGATTTACCTGGGAACAGAAGTCCAGGCGATTCTGACTTCTCTGGAGCTCTACGCTCTGTTATTCTATATGACAAAGTCTGGAACAGCACAGTTTTGGAATCTGACTTTGGGATTAACTCCTGGATTCAGAGTATATTCAGGAGAGGCTTTGCCCTTGAGGGAGTCTTTGCTTCCTCTGCTGTAAGGTAGTGAAACTCAGGAGTGTGGGCAGGGGAACTAAGATCAGGGGAGTAAATCCCAAGCACAGCGCCTGGCCCAGAGGCATTGCTAATCATAAACAGGCTTCTTTGTTTAGATACATGTAATTAACGCACGATAATAGGATCTAGCTGTTCCCTAGGTCAAGCCAAGGCACTGTCATTTCTCTGTTCTCATCTAGGGGGGCTAGATATCCTCTTGAGAGATTAATGATTTTATTTACGAAATGGGAAATACATTGGTTCACAACACTGGCTTGATATCATCCAAACTGGATAAACACTGGAATGTCTCCAGTTTGGGGAATACCAGCGTCCTGACATGAAAAAGTGTGTATTATCTTCCATGATAAGAAGGCTGGGATCCTGTGTAGGGGCCCAGCCTTCCTTTTCCTACTTCAGAAATCTCCAAAAATTCATTAACCCCTGACTCGGGGAGGTGGGTAGACCCGCCTGTGTGTGACCAGATTATGGACCTGTGGGCATTCCCTCTTGAGATGTCCATGTGGGCCATTAGCTACAAGATCAAGACCGGCATTTGGATTTGTGTGGGAAATCTATGCAGTTGTACATAAGCTGTAAGTATCACACGCTCCACGCTGAAAACATAACCACCATGTTTACTCAAGGCAGGGGAGCCAGAACTAAAGAATACCCCTTAGCATTTGCCCGTTTGGGATTCACCAGCAGGCCTGATTGGTGGAAATCCCCCCAAAAAGTGCTCAGCAAATATACAGGAACTTGATAATGGGGTTAAACTGATCCCCAGGCTAAGGGCCAACAGTCTCTATGCTGTAAGGGAAGTGGGTTTGGGGGTAAATAATGAAGAGCCGTAACAGGGCCTGAGAACGTCATCTCCTTCTCAGAGTGGTAGAAGCTGCTAGAGCCTCAGCTCTAATCGTCCCTGGCCTGGGATGGAGAGAGAAGGTGTGGGATGGAGAGTGCCCGATGGGGGTAAGGGAGCACGTTCAGGCCTCCATGCCTGGGCAGGAAGGCGGCCTGACGGAGTGCAGTGGGCGAGGCCTCAGGCTTTGGGCTTGGATTCCAGCCCTGGCTTGTCCTGGCTCCTCAAGGCTGGGCAAGTTGCAGTGAGACAGAACTTAACTTAACTTAACTTAACTTAACTTAACTTAACTTAACTTAACTTAACTTAACGGTGCTCCTTGTGGATAATATTATGCTTTTCCCCGAATACCCTTGCTTGGTTAAGATTAAGAACCATTGGTCTGGCAGTGGGGGAAGAGTGGGGACAGGTGGGGACAGAGACTCACTGTTTATAGTTGAGGGGTAAAAGCCACCATCCTTATGAAGCCAAACAGAAAACTCAGGGACAGGGCAGCCTCAGGCCCTAAAATCTGGGACCAGAGAAGGTGACAATACATGTGATCAGGAGGAGGTGGCAGCCCACATGTCAGGGGCATCTGACCACCACAGCCAGATGGAACCTTTCTAGAAGGTGACACCTGGCTGCCTGCCTTCAAGTGGCATCTACATGGCATCAGGGAGCAGATATCCTCCCCACACTGACACGCAATCCATGAACAAGAAATCAACTCCAGGAGCCCATGGACTGGAAGGGCAGTGGGTGCTAGAGGTGCCTGGGCCACAGCTCCTGATAATCTTCAGAAAAGCCCAGATAGCTGAAGGCCCAGAGTCAAGTGCCAGCCAGGAAGTGGCCCCACTTACCCCTCTGGCCAGAGCTCCTGACCCTCTCTCACGTCTCCACCCTCGATGCCAGGGACATCAGCCTACAGAGCCCTCCCGCATTCTTCTGTGACTTCACTTGCTCTGTTCCCTCTCTCTAGATTTCCTATCCCCCTCCTCCACAGGGCCAAGCTCCACTCATTCTACTACGAGCCCCAGCTCTAGCCCTTACATCGTTCCTGTGCTGCGCTGTCTTTTGCCACCCTTGCCAGACAGGGGACACTGTGCAACTGAAGCACTTAGCTGAGTTAAGTCACATTTAAGGACTCAATCCATCCATCAGTCAACCCGTTGATCATTGAGCACTGAGAAGACACAACACTGGTGCAGGTCTGTGCACCACTCCGCACGAGGGCATCAGGTTGTCTCACACGGACTGGCCTTCGGCTCTGGCAGAGGCTGGGGTCACGGAAGACTGTCCCTGGCCACCCTACGCGGCCGCACAGCCCACACTCTCGCCCTTGTGCCGCTACCATACTTCCAGGCTGCACTTGGCTTTCTAATGGGCATTGGCCACTTCTCCATGGAACAGCTCACAATACGGTGTGCCTGGCACAACCTGGCAACAGTCTGTGTGCCCGTGTCCTGCCCCAGCCTGTGTGTGTGAGGGCAGGAAGCAAGCATCACGGTGATCCAGCACCCAACACAGTGGCCCAGACCTTCTAGGCCACAGTAGGTGCTCAGACTCAGAGACTCAACAAAATTGGCGTAGAGGTTTAGGACGCAGATCACACTAGTTTGATGGTTTGTAACCTAGAGGAACTTGGCATGAAGGTGTCTACTGTAGTCACTGTGACTTTGGTCACAGGGGTCACTCCTCCCAGCCTGAGTCCCTTTGGGACAATCCCCTACCCGGATTCAGAGCCCTGGCCCTTGGGGCCCCCCTACAGGTCAGCAGGAGAGAAGAGAAACTATACACAGAGCTGGAAGGCAGGCCAGGAGGCAATGTGGGCCAGCTGCCCTTCTCTTCTCGTTAGTGGTGGAGGTTTGGCTGCTGGGCAGAGAGAGGACAGCCTTAGGGCTTTGAGCTAAAAGGGCCCTGGCAGAGGGAAGTGGCCTTAATCAAGGTGCCTCAGGGACCAGAGCCCAGGAAACTCTGTGCCTCCTTCTCGGGGGCCCTCTGAGAGACAGTGCTCCTCCCTGTCCACCCAGCACCCCCTCCACCCCCTACCCACACCCTCTGTTACCTGGGTCCCCCTTGCTTCCCTTCATGCCGTCGGCTCCTGGTCTCCCGGGTGTCCCTGATGGTCCTGTACAGCAGATGCCCGGAGAGCATGAGGGCTGGGTTCTGTGGCTCTTCAGACATCACTTCCCATGCCCCCCGCAGGAGCGAGGATCTCACCTGTGAGCCCGGGGGGGCCAGCGCTGCCAGGCTCACCCTTGGCACCTGGGGGTCCCACCGTGCCCGGAGAACCGGGAACACCCTTCGCTCCAGGTTGCCCTGCAAGTCAAGTGACAACTGCAAGATTGGGGGTGGTGGGCAGAGAGCCTGGCCGCCCACCCCTCCCTCTACTCCTCTCTCTTCTCAGCCATGACACGGGTACCTCCTATCGCCTCGTGTGTTCCTGAGCAGCGTTAAACATCTCCCTTTAGAAGCCGTGAACTAGCCCAGTCCGTAGGAGATAAGTTACAGCCTGAGCAGTGTGTTCATCTTTGCTGGGACTCTGCAGTGTCTGGGGCCCACGGGCTCCCTGGGCACCCTGGTCGTGGCTGTGTGTGCCACACCCCTGCGCGGCAGACCATGGCCAAGCTCTAAGGGGATGCCAACCAAGCCCGTTCCTCCCAGGCGGGGGCTGGCTTTGAGAGACCCCATGTGGTCCGCATTAATGCTACAATGAAATTAAAGACGGTGGAGTCATGTTCTGGACTTGACTTTGCCCAGCCACAGTAGCAGTTCGAATGATGCCTGGGTTCCCAGAGTTCTTACCTTGGTCTCCTTTCATTCCGGGAGATCCAGCCACACCTACAATGAAGAAGGATTTTAGGGAGTTTGTTCCCCTCTAGCTCAGTCTGCCAGAGAAACAGGGAATATCTACCGGCCAGTGGACGGCCTCTTACCTGGGGGACCTGGCTTCCCTGAGTCACCTTTGCTCCCCTGGGCTCCAGGGGGTCCCATGGCCCCTGCGTCTCCTTTCATGCCCACGTCGCCTTTGCTTCCTGAAAAACCAAGGAGTCATGGTCAGGCACAGGAGGAGGACAAAGCCGGTCGCAAAGTTCCCCAGACACTGTCCCACCCAAATTCCAAACTCGAATTTCTTGGGCTCTGCCTACCTGGTGCCCAGAAGTGGAAGATACCCTCAAGGAGCAACCATCTTGCCCCAGACACCGGGTGTAAACTCGTGAGAAATGGTTGAGGTCACCTGGCCCGGCCGAAGGGCGGTGGAAAGCCCGGAAGCCAGGCTCCCAGGGCCGCAGTCAGCATGCTGGTCCCCTTGGGAGGGACCACAGCCTAGGCTCAACCAGCGCTGCCCGGCTCATTTCAGTATCTGCCTGTGGGGAATTATTCTTTTCTTTTCCAAGCCTCCCAAACCGAAATCTGAATATTCCAGAATGCCGATCCCAGATGCCGAGAACAGAAACTCGAAGGCATGAGTGGAGAGAAAACCATCGCAGCAGCTCGGATGCCTGCCAGTGCTCCAGCCTTGCCTGGTGCCCAAGGTTTCAAATTTTCCACTTGTCATCAGCATTCAAGGCTTGCCCCAGCCTGTCCTCTCCTCGGTCCTCCACTGAGCTCCCTCCTCCTCTCTGCCACTGCACGGCACATATCAATCGCATGGGGGCTGGCAACCTCTTCCCAACCTGCGGGCCTGGCTGCAGAGCGGGCTGCACGCCCTTGTTAGCTGTGCCAGCTGGGGTCTCTTTGTCCGCAGCCCACTGGCATGGCTGGTGTCGCGGCCACTAGTCACGGTCCCACCCCGGCAGCGGCCTCAGCCCTGGGACAGTCTTTTTGGGATAGAATGAGGTTAAAAGGCTCCACTGCACTCTTTACCTCATATCAGAGCTGGGAGGCCTCAGAGGGATAGTAGCCTTCTCTCCCGTGAACTGGGAAAGGAGACAGAGAGGTCGGAGGCAGGGGAAGGAATTACCTGTCATGTGAAGCTTTCTGGTCTAAGCGTGGGCTGGCTTTAGGGGCAAGGCTCGGGGAGTAGATTCTCTGAGGTGGTTTAGGTACTTGAAGGATGATTATTCCTTGATGGGAAACAAGGTAATCAGAGAGGGCTTGGTTCTGGTTGAGATCTCTTACGGCCTCAGGGGCAAGCAGCAAAGAATGTAGTTCTTGCTCATCCTGGCTGTGCACTTTGGCAGAAGGGACAAATGGCCTCTGGGAGACTGGGCTAGGAATTACTTCTCTGGAGGAGTTTGCTGGTGCCCGACTGCCCCAGGTCAGCCAGAGCCATCCCGTTATGGGAGTGGATTCGGGAGTGTGGTCTGGGACCGAGTCTGCGTGTGGCTATGACTGCCACACGTCCATCGAAGGGGTGGGCCTGGGGAAGCAAGGCGCTCTCAGTGAAAGGACCAGAGTCTGGCACCAACGCGTGAACTTCAGCTGCCATCTGGTGTCAGAACGTTTCCATCACAGCTCAAGGAAAGGTGGGGAAAACAGACAAGGCCCCTGGAACCTCCCCAGGGGCCTTCGTCCCATTGGCTGGGACAAAGCACAAAGCCTCAGGACCCCTGGAGCAGGCCCCTCTCCCCAGTCCTGTCCACCTGCAGGGGATTAGGAAAACGGTGGGTGAAAGGGACCTTGTGGTCTTGGGAGAGGAAATCTAGGAAGAGGAGGGGTGGGGAGGAGACCCGATTTCCGAAGAACTGAAACTTCTGAGTTTCCCCTAGCCAGCCAACCACAGCTTTTCCAGGCAGAGTGCGGCCGCCTCACCCTGATCCCCAGTATCTGCATATCTGGGGCACTGGATGAGTTGGGGGGGGGACACAGTAGAGCACCCGCTGCACAGGCTGGCTCTCATCCCCTCCTCTGGGACTGGCAGGGTCACCTTGAGAAAGTCTGGGCCTCCCTGTCCTGTTACCCAGTGAGCTACAGACAGCAGCCTTTGGAATCACCCTTAGAGGTCAACTGTCTAACCATCTGCCTGGTGCACAAACCGCCCTCAGTCTGCCAAGGAGAATTCTGCAGTTCCCCTCCCCTTCCCCGCCCCCCCACCCCCAGTGGCCCCTGAGCCCCGCGCATGCGCATTTCCTCACAGGGACCCCTGAGTCCTAATGCCTCCCTCCTCTGGCACCTCAGCACGAGTGGCTCTCCTGAAACCTTTGATCATCACTCCTCATTTTCTGCAGCCAGCCCAGAGCAAGCGTGTTTTCTCTTCCACGAGTGCCTTTCTGAACTTTCAGGATGGTTGACTCATGGTCGTCTCCCTAAGGGCCCTCTTCCTGAAGGCCCGAACCCCAGTCTCTTATAATGTAAATAATTCCTATTTGGGTACAGCACCACACATCGTGTGTCTTCTATTACTGTTGTAACCATCCTTATTGAAGGTTGCTCTTATTATCCCCCTCTTAGAGGTGAATAAATTGTGGGTCAGAGAGGTCGAGGCATTTGCCCAAGGTCGCCCAGCTAGGACCCAGGACCGTAGGGCGGTTCTGATCTCAGAACCGAGATCCTCCCCTTTCTACCTTAAGGAATCCCTAACGCTACTGATATCTAACCGTTATCATTTGTTTAGGGTTTAACCATGTGGCAGATAGTTTGAAAATACGATCTCTGGCCCTTGTCACTGCCCTACAAAGGATGCATAATGTAATTATTATTATTTTTTAAATGTTTATTTAGTTTTGAGAGAGCGCAAGTGGAGGAGGGGCAGAGAGAGGGGGACAGAGCATCCGAAGCCGGTTTGGTGCTGACTGCAAGCAGCGAGCCCGATTCGGGGCTCTGACTCACAGTCTGCGGGATCATGACCTGAAGTTGGAGGTTCAACCGACTGAGCCCCCCAGGCGCCCCTGATTATTGTCATCTTAATTGCCATTCTTTGCTGAAATGAAGAAACTAAACCTCAGCTGGTTAAGTCATGTGCCTCAAGGCGCAAGTGGACAGGTGCAGAGCAGGGGTGGCATCAAGCCCGCTCGCAGCACGGCCCTCATTCTCCCTACTGCACCCCAGAACCACCGAGGGGGGGTTCAGGAGGCAATGTGACACGGGCATGAAGGTGCTGGGTCACAGCCAGAGGCCCTGGCGCAGCGCTTCTCAGAGCCCCCTGGACTTCCGGCGTCAGAATGTCCAGGACTTTGAAACACAGACTCTTAAACTCTGGACAAGGGCCCCCAATGGTTCTGAGGTAGCACCTGCTTCTGGAATCAACCCCTTCCTCCTCCCTGCCAGCCAGTGTCCCCCGCCTACCCGCCCTGTGTCCACCTCACAATGGCTGCCACCCTTCAGCACCCTCTCCGCAGAGCTCCTGGCACAGCCTGTGTCCTCACTCGTCACAGGGTGTGGCTGCCATGACGCAGTGTCTCCCCCTACACATGCTACTCTCAGCTCTCACATTCCTGGTCTCTGCTCACCTGGGCAGATGGGAGCACAGGTGTGCTCCTCGGAGGGAGCAGAGCACAGCCCCGCCCTCAGTGGGACTGCACAGACTGCCCAGCCCCCAACCTCTCCCCCACAAGCCCCGACACCCCTACACGCCCCTTACCTGGGAGGCCCAGGTCTCCTTTGTCTCCCTTAGCCCCGGGTTCCCCCTTCGGGCCAACAAGTCCCCCGTCGCCTTTGCTGCCCTTCTCTCCTTGCCGTCCTGGGGTGCCTGGGCGGAGAATGGCCAACAAGATGGGCTCCCAGCGTCCTCCTAGGTCCTTCTGAGCCAAGGAGGCTGGGGGATGGCAGAAGTCTGGGGATGTTAGGTCATCTCTCGGGGGGGGGCTCTGTGAGGCACCGAAAGACTCCAAAGCAGGGGACCGTGGGAGGGCACCAAGCCCCTGGGGCTGCAGGCGGGGATGGGGGAGGGGGTACCCGGCTGAGCCCAAGCAGGGGAAACACACATTACCAGGGGCTCCTTGTTTGCCTGGAGCACCAATGGGTCCTTGGAGGCCTGTGAAGAAGGAAAGAGGAACCAATCACAGTGCTCTGGGCTCCTGGTCAGCTGAGGTTCTAGAGCCTGCAGGAGGGGACGAGGGTCCAGCAGGAGGGGAGGGGCTTTGGTCTATCTCATTCTCTCTCTCTCTCTCACACACACACACACACACAGCCCCTTCACAACAGCAAGGAAAAGAGAGATGGGGTGGGGATGGGGGGTGAACGGCTGAGTTTCTTAGGTGCAGGGGTATAAACGAGCCACGCCCCTGCCTCCTCACCCAGCCCCTACCCACCTGCCTCTCCCTTGATTCCAGGCGGACCTTGGAGTCCCGGGGGGCCTGGAAAGGAAAAGGAATTCAGAACGTAGCCTGGACGAGGAAGAGAAACAGGGTTACAGGGCCAGGGGACAGATGCCGGTGCGTGTGGCATCATGGCATGCCACGGTAGGTCCCCTTCTCAGCCAGTGGCCTTGACGGGCTGGGGATGCCAGGCATGCCCTGGGCCCCTAAAAGACCTGAAAAAGAGGAACAGAGACACCAGTGGGCCAACTCACGAGGTATGGCGACAAGGCCACGAACTGTCGCTGAGACTGAGCCGAACGGTGTGGAAGGAAGAATTGGAAAGTCAGGATTCCTTCTTGTGGGAAGTGCACGGCCTAACAGGCAAAACGCAGTCCTATGGATGAGGGAGGCTGCAAAGACGGTCCCGCTTCAGGGAACACCACCGCCCCCTCAGCTGTGTGGCCTCGTGCATGTCACTTCATTTTGAGCCTCAGCTTCCTCGTCAGTAAAATGGGGTTAATATGCCCAGTTATGCAGGGCTGTCCGGAGGCAGGCTCGAGATCAACAGAACCTACTTTTGCTACAACGTGCATGCGGTTGCATCCCTTTCTGAGGGCTGCCAGGCAGACTCGGAATCCTGACAACCCAGGAGGGTGAGACGTCCCATTCTAGTTCATTCGGACTGCTGTAACACCACAGAGCTGCTGGCTTTGAAACAACAGACCTTCATTTCTCCCAGTTCTGCAGGCCGGAAGTTCAAGATCCTAGAGCCAAGAGCTAGTGTGGTTGGGTTCTGGTGAAGGTTGTCTTCTGGGGTGCAGACCGCTAACTTCTCACTGCGTCCTTGAGTGGTGGTGGTGAGGGGGTGCCCAGGGAGCTCGTTGGGACCCCTTTGATAAGGGCACGAATCCCACTCAGGGGGGCCCCTCCGCTCATGGCTGACTCACCTCCCAAAGGCCCCGCCTCCTAACACTGTCACTCTGCGTGTTGGGTTTTCTGCATATGAATGCTCATGAGAGAAGACCACTCAGGCCACAGCGTGTCCCCCCATCACCACAAGGAGAGTGACTTTCTGAGATGCATGGCTTTGCCTGAGGTCACACACGTGGAGAGAGCCCGGCAGATTCCAGGTCTCCCAATGGCAAAGCTTGTCCCCGAGTCAGGGCAGCACGGTGACAAAGCCTTTGACACGCTTTCTATTTCGGAGTTAGAGCCCCAGTCTGATTTGCGGGACCCATAATGCTGTGTCTCTCCTACATTCACAAGACGGGGCGGGAGGGCAGAGGGAAGGGAGCAGAGAAGGGACCCAGAGTCCCTGTCACACAAGTCTCAGGGAAGGAAGGGCGCTGTGGAGAATCAGTTCGGGTGCTGACCGCTGGTCTCTACTGGCCAGCTGTGTGGCCTTCACGTGGCCTCGCCCACTGTCCGGTGGGACACGGGAACAGTGCCACCTGCCTCCTAGGGTCCTCAGGGGTCATGGGACATGGTAAAAACCCAGGGAAAGTGGGCTTTGGCTACCCTTCTTAGCTAAAGGGAAGAGGCAAGAACTCCAGAGACCCCGTGGGTACAGGGTTCTGGGTACAGGCCCCTGCACCTGGCCCTTTAGGAGTAGTTCCCCGCTTGTGATAGGATTGGTCCAGATCCTCAGGGTGTGAGTCCCTAGGATCCTGTGCCGGTCAATATGACTCCTTTCCACCACAGGCTATTCAGGCTGGACCATCTCTGCTGTGGTCGCCTGGTCTCCGGGGCGGGAATGGGATTCGCTCCAGCTGCTCCTCCAACTTTGCCTGACTTTACTTGAGTACGCCAATGTACCTCTGAGCCGGTTTCCTTGTCTGTGAAATGGGGGCAATAGCAGCAGCCACTTGGGGTTAGTGTGAGGAGTCAACAGTACACGTACCAAGGGGCACCCCCTTCACCGCCCCTGACCCAGGCCGGCCTAGTCCCTGCCGCTCCCAGCCTGTCTTCCACCTCTGCTCCTCTGGTTCTTGCACTTTGGCACACAGGTGTTCCTTCTTTGCCTTCCTATGTTCACCAAACCCCCTTCCTACCTCAGGGCCTTTGCACATATGGGTCTCTGCCTGGAACGCATATTTCCTGACACTCTCCGCTCATACTCAAGTCAAGGCTGAAAGGTCTCTTTGGAAAACTTCCCAGCACATGAAGTTCTGTTCCGTGCTCTCTTTACTTAGGGAGTTGTCCCAGTCTCTCAGAGCAGAAGGGACTGTAACCAAATCATGCTTCCCTGGGGGCAGGGGGTCTGTCTGTCTTTCTGTGTCTGAATTCCCAGTGCCTGGGAAATGCCTGGTCCTTAAGAGGCTTTCAGTAAATATTTGCTGGGAAGAGAGTATGGGTGGATTCCACATTACCCTTTCCCCAAACTTAACTTAGGTGAAGCTTCCCTCTCTACCCATGCCTGTTCTGGAAGCTTGGCCAGAATGCAGTTTCTCAGAAGGCTGCCTCCAGGCCAAACCAGTCACCTCTGAGCTCTGCACCCAGACATCCCCTGGGACCCATCTATTGGTCACCAGGGGCCTTTCAGGAAAGCGTGCCTTTGGGGAGCCCTCACCAGGCAAGGCAGGCCATGGGGGAGGGGGGAGAAATTGCAGGCTCCCTGGGGTGGGCTGGGTGGTGGGGGAAACTAGGAAGTTGTCTGGGGGTTGCTGAGTTCCAGCTGCTAGAGTCAGTTTCCAGCCTCTGGTTTCTGGGCCCCAGAAGAGAGAAAGATGGGGGACAAAGAGGTAGTCAGAGACAGAGAAAGGCTGCGAGAGACGTGAGAGAGAGAGAATGGGAGATTACATACATACATACATGTGCAGATCTTCTTGACTCACAAGGGGTCACATCCCGATATACACAATATAAATTAAAATATTCTAAGTCGAAAATGCATTTAATGCGATGAAACTACTGCACATTACAGGTCGGCCTCACCCACCGTAAATGCACTCAGAACACGTATTTTAGCCTACAGCTGGGCAAAGTCATCTAACGCGAGCCCAGTTTATAACACTGTTGACCTTGTCATGGAACTTACTGACTAATGTATTGAAAGTGAGGAGCAGGATGACTGTCCAGGACGGAGTGGTTGTCAGTGGAGTGGCTGTTTGCTCTCCTGATCGTCTGGCTGACCCAGAGCAGCCCCGCCTAGCATCACGAGAGACTATAGTCCCTCCTGTCACTAGCCAGGAAAAGATCCAAATTCAAAATTTGAAGTACAGTATCTGCTGAATGTGTACCACTTTGGCACCATTGTAGGGTCCAGAAATCGTAACTGGGGCCACTGTACATCAGCGACTGTGTGTACGTTCACACAGAGAGACAGAGACTGAAGGGCAGAAGGTAGGCTGCCCCCACCCTGACCGTGAGCTCTGTGTCTCTTCCTGGAGCCCTGGGCCTGCGGTAGGTGCTGGGGCAGACTTCAAACGTCAGACTAAGCCCACTGGGTTGACAATAGGTGTAAGCCCTGATCAAGGAATTAGCTCCTTCAAACCTCCAGAGGAAATAACAAAGCAAATAATAACAACAGACAACCACAACGGCACTATTGAATGCTTCCTCTGAGCTGGGCGCTGGACTTAGCATTTTTACATTCATCATTTTTATTCTCACCCCAATCCCAGGAGGGCTTGGGATTTTCCCACGGTGCTAGGGGAGAGCACAGAACTCACAAATGTTAAGCAATTGGCTCAAGGCCACCCAGCTCCAGAGGGAGCCAGTGTTTGTCCCTCTGTGATAGTCACACAGTGCACACTCGCACCTTTGGCCAAGGCTGCCTCAACTCTTCCTGGCCAGTGGGGGCGCCTGGGTGGCTCACAGTCAGTTAAGTGTCCGACTCTTGATTTCGGCTCAGGTCATGATCTCACGGTGCGTGGGTTTGAGCCTTGCCTCCTGCTCTGCACTGACAGTGCACACAGCTCTTCCTGGACAGCAGTGTGAACTGGGCCATATAGGAAATATCATGAAGCCAAGGAGTTCTGTCCCAAGAAAGCCATGTACCCTTCTTTTCCAGGTGAAATTTCAAGCATTTGGGTGATAGAATGGAGTAGGAGGTGGAGTGAAGTGTGTGTACATGTGTGTGCATGTATGAGACAAGACCTGCATGTGGTCAAGTAGAAAGGAAAAGCAACTGAGGCCCAGGTGTCTTCCTCGGAGAACACTTGCTACTGTCAGACGTTTGTCACACATCCCTTCACATGAATCTTACAGCGTCCGCGTGAAGTGAGTTCAATTGTCTCCATTGGTTTTTACAGGGCTGAGTGGCTGAGGTTCCAGAAAAGTTAAGTAACTGGCCCCAAGTCACACAGCTAGTAAGCAGCAGACCCGGGATTAGAGGCTGCCCCTCCGGCCTCTTCCCCACGTCATTATGGTGCTCTAGGAGACACGAGCGGTGCGGCTCTGGAAATTATCACAGCCAGGTGGGGTGACAAGCTAGGTTTCAGGTAAGAGGCCGCTGAAAAGAGTGCTCCTGGGAGACAGAGGGGGAGTCCTGCATGTGCAGCAGGGATGCTGGGGGGAGAGGGAGCAGGAGAGATGCACTTGGGATGGCCTTGGACGGTGGCTTAGATTTGGCTGGGTGGCATGATGGGGAAGCCATTTCTCATTCCAGGCAAGGAGCAGGGGAAAAGCCCAGAGGCTGGGAGTCCCGACATGGTCAGGGAACAGAGAGCAAAGCCAACTGAGGACCAGCGAGTTTGTGGGGGTCTCTGGAGGTCTCTGGAAGGTAAGCTGGGGTTGAGGCCCAGAAGGGAGCCCCTTGGGGAAGGCTGTGGGGAGTGGGCGGCGTGGATCAGAGGAGAAATGAACATACCTGGAGCGCCTCGTTCTCCTTTGATCTGGAACAGCTCTGCAAGGGGAGAGGAGAGGGTTGTAGGCTGGGCCGTGTGGGCGCATCTGCAGAGAGCGCAGCTCAGAGCTGGAAGGCTGCGCCCTTGGGGCCGAGGGGAGATGGGGGATTTGGCCCACAGGAGCCAGAACTCGGGTATTTTCCAGGAATGAGTTTCTTGAAAACGCCCAAAGTTTAGTTGGAAGTAGTGGTGGGCACCGGAGAGCGATAGATCCCTGGGGGCCACAGGAGTGTAGAAAGAAGGTTGAGACCCCCGGACTCTACCCTGTGTTGTCCCAAGACCTTACAGCCAAATCCGTGAAGGAAGAGCCTCAGGTTAAAGGCAGTCCTCGTGCGGATCATGCCTTCACGTCTCATGAAGGGAGGGGTGGTCTCTGTGTCTCAGCATCTGAGCCTGGACTCCGCCCCTCTTCCATAGCCATCACCTCTCTCCACCTCATGGCTCGGCCTTTATCTGTGCTCACTGGGGAGACCACGGCCTCCGGGGGGCCCTGTGTCCGTTCAGCATGTGCTCCCAGGGGCACAGAACCTCAGTCATGGAATTGTTCCCAAAGCCCGAGCTTGTCCCAGGCCTAAGAGCTGGTGCTCCGTCCAACAGCGTGGACCGTGCAACAATGAGGGCACACCGAGCGGCTGGTTTTGCCCAAATCAGCTCTTCCTGTCCCGGAAGGAACAGCCAGAGAGAGTGGCGGGTGCAGTGGGTGGACAGCCTTGCCTGGCCCAGGGAAGACCGAGGGAGGGGGAGGCCACTGGCATGTCCACCTTCAGGGTTGTCACCTCCTGTGTGCAGCCCTATCTTCCAAGCCACCATGCTTCCCCCGTGGGCCCACCGCCCTCTCCCTCCAAGGTTCCCACGTGGCCTGGACGGGCTTCGTGCCTACCATGATGCTCTTGCCACCAGCATATCAGTTGGCTGCATGGGAGCAGTGCTGGGAATCGCCCCAGGCTCTGTGTTTTACCCACCTTCCCAAACATTCTAGATCCACCTGTGGGCTTTGTGACTAACACCTGGCCTCGGGCTGTTTGCTCTTGTCCGTGGCTCTTGGAGGTCACACTCTGCTTGGATAGAGCCCTTGGTTCCTAGGTTCTTGACCCACCGGTCTACACCCCCAATGGGGCTGGAACCTCATGCCCCACCCCGTGTGGCTCTCACCTCTTGTCTTGGGCCAGGGTTCTGGAATGCCCTCTTTGCCAAGGAAGGAGATTCAGGCCCAAAGAACCCCTTGCCCATGAACCAGCTGCCCCTACTTTCCATCCTCTGAAGCGTCCCAGTGCAGGAAAGAGGGGGCCAAACCTGGGCTCTGAGTGAAGTTGTCCACCTTCTGCAGCAGGTGCTCCTGTCTGGTGCGGACCTGGGTGATCTGGGCCTGCAGGACTTGCAGTCCCAGGAGAGGCGGGACGGGCATTGACTGGAGCAAAGAGAAGGACGGGCTGTCCTCTGTGGCCAGCGTTCCATTGGTGAAGTGAATCTCCAGGGCCCAGAGCCGCTCCTGCAGATTCAGAACTGGACACCCCACCCCCACCCCACAGCATCCTTTTAGGGACCTCATTAAAGCCCCAGGCATGTGAGCATGTCCCGGACATTCCTGTGTCATATGTATAGCTTCTGTGGGTCCTGAATACTAAACACGCATTTCATGTGCTATGAGGACCCAGCATGAGCACAGAGCTCTTTTTATATCTTGCACGTGTGCACTTTACACCATGATGTCACACGTTCACAGAATATTCCTGCAGGGCCTAGGGACATACCTACAGCATCACGATCAACCTTCAACCTTCCCGCAGGCTCTTGGCATGAATGTATGATGACTAATATACTGGCATGACCTAACCACGCGTGACCTTAATATGCAAGTGACTCATGTTTATGACAGCTGAGTGCGCGATGTTCTTGTGTGACGTCAGCGTCTGCAGATGGGATTGCTTCACGACCTTAATATTTGGACTGGGGACACTTTGAAAGTTAAATCATTTGAAAATGAACAGCCTGCTCAATAAAGCCCCTTCACACTCAGACACTAGGGATCCTTGATGAAAGCGGCACACGACATTGTGGGCGAAATTATTGCTCTGTTCACTGCTATAGGCACACACAGGTTCACGTGAGCTTTCTCTCTCTGTCTCTCTCTCTCAATCTGTCTCTGTCTCTCTTTCTCTCATACACACATGCAGACACACACATACACACATGCTCCTATGGCCACTCTCCTCCCCATCCATGTGGCTACCCAAGGACTAAGAACTTTCTGTCAACAGGTGACCCCACAGCTCTTCACTTAAGCCTGAGCCCTGTGTCAGCCCGGGAAGCACCAGGCAGAACCCAGACCTCTTTACCTTTCACCACCAGCAACCCGGCACCTGTGGTAAGGAGAATCAGATAGATGACCACTATGACCGTGGAGCAGTTCACCGCCTTTCTCTTCCTTGACTTGTGATCTGAAACGCAACCCAGGTAGAAAGTAGCTATTGCAGAAGGCAGAGGGCAGGAAGCCCCAAACTGTGTCCGATCCCCTCTCTGTGTGAGCAGAGGGCTTCCTGCGAGGTCGAGGGCAAAGACACAAAGTCTCACTGCCTCCAAATCTTCCCCCTGATCCTCCTCTTCCCACAAGCCTGGCAGTGCCACTGTTGGTCACTCATTGGGGTGGCTGGGGACACAAACACCCGGCCACACAGCATTAGCTGCAGAACACAGTCCTTAAGCCAGGCTCAGTGTCAAAGCCCCAGCACGGTGCCCGGAAGTAGGGGGCCCTCAAGAGAGGCTCATCAGGCGAGTTGATGAATGAATATACTTGAATTTCAAAACCTTGGGAGAAGGATGCCTGTTGCCACTTTATAAACTGGGAGTGAGGCTTGGAGAAGTTGGAAAACCTATCATGTTATGAGACGCAGATCTGGGATTCAGATCCAGCCTTTGGCTTTCTTCTTCTTTAGGTTATTTCATTATAAAAATAAAACATGCTTAATATGATTTATCAAACAATACAGAGGGCATTGCAAAGGTTAATGATCTTGCGATCAGGGACTTTAAGGGACCTGAATTCCTCAGCGTCCTAACCTGCTGACATAAGCTTTGGTGGCGTTCTGGGGTGTGGCCTTTTTCTTTATCTTGTTTGCTTGCGGAAACAGACCCATAGTCTGCTGAATAGACTTGTTTTTTTCTTTCGGTTTACACGGTTTACACAGTCAATGTCATCTTACATACAATACAGCACGTTGCTTTGTGCAATGATTGCTTTTCTATGGACATTCCTCCAGTCTTTTGTTTGTTTGTCTTTTGTCCTTTTGCTTTGTAGAGAGAGATTTAACCATTCTTTTAATAGCTGCCTAATACTCCTTCAAGACAAGAGCCACAATTCATAAAGATGTTTCCTTGTTGACAAGCTGTTTCCCCATTGACAAGTTTGGGGGGTTACAAAAGAGGCCACAGTGGTTCTAACTCCGGTCTTTCCCCCACGCCAGCTGTCTCCCCACTCTGGGGCATCCAGAGGCGGGGAGCCAGCCTGCAGAAAGCCCTGCAGTTTACCACCACTGACACTGACCAAGCACCGACTCGGTGCCAGGCCCTGTCCTATATCGTCTCTAATGCTGCCCACGGTCCTGCAAGGTAGGTGTGATCATCCCTTTGCACGGACCTGGTGTTCAGAGAAGTTAGAGCAGTACAACAGGCACGTGTCCTTGGGTCCGTCGGACCCCAAGGCCTGAGCTTGCCTCATTAGCCTACACTGACCATCACCCTTGGGAAAATGCAGTTGAAATGAACTCCAAGGGCAGGCATGAAGGGAAAAGGGATCTTAGGTGAGCATCCCAGGGGAGGGGGTCAGGGGTTGTGAACACATTCCTTTGCTTTGTGGCAGGTGGCGGTGTGTATGAACCTTGCGTCTGTTTTCTGTCACCCGTGGAACTGTTATTCTGCTGACGATTGTTCCAGCCACTGCAGAGCAGAAATCTCTGTGTCAGTATTGTCGAATGCACGCTGGTCTCAAGATGGCCCCGGCAGCCACAAGAGGAGTGTGGTGATTGGGTGATTTCTGGTTAGCGGTACTCGGTTATGCTTAGCCTAGTGTAGAGTGTCCCCTGCACTGCACCTCCCAAATGGGGGCCCACACAGCAGTGAGCTCTCTAACACGCAACCTGGCCACGTCTCTTCCCTATCTTCAGCCCTCCAGTGGCCATTCACTGTCCACTGTCCTCTTCACCTCCTCCCGGCCAGTTCTCCTGTGGCTACACCTCCATACACACACCCCCGTGGACCCCGACCAATAGTCAGGCCGGACCACTCGTGGCAACACCCTTCTGATTCCACGCCACGTATCTCCTCTGAGTACATGACCTTGCCTCCTCCCTTCTGCATGACTAATTCTTCCTCATCTTTTGGGAGCACAGTGAATGCTCCAAGATGCATTCTCTGACTCCCCTGGGTTAGGTGGGGTCCTGCCCCCTTTCCCCACATTGCTCTGGGTTTCTACCTGCTTTGACATCCATCACCCTGAACTGTGTCTGTTTATGCCTCAGTTTCTCCCCAATAGCCCGGAAGCTTCTTGGGCTGCCTTCTAGCACCAACATGCTGTGGACCACACACTGCGTGCTGAAAAGATGGGTGCTGAATGGAGGGATGAGTGGCTGCGGAGGTTTGGGTACTGAACACATACAGAGGGGAGCGCCGCCAGTTTAAGTGTATTGGAAATGCATCAGGAACGCAACTGCAGACCTCAGGCAAGTGTGTCATCGTGGCGAGATGGGAAACGTGTAAGGGAAGCTTCATATTTAACAAAAGACGGTGGACAATGAATGCAATCTTTTAGACAGCACTACACTTTCTTTTTAAAAAGATGTATTTATTTTAAGATATATGTAGAAAGGGACAGAGAGAGAGATTGAGTGAGAGAGAGAATCCCAAGCAGACTCCACACTGTTAGCCCACAGCCCAATGCGGGGCTCGAACTCACAAACCAGACAGCACTAAACTTGATGAAACAATGGGAATAGAAAGACAGAGTGCTTCAGAGAGCCGGGCGTTACACAGGTCAGAGGTGGCAATGGGGGCCAGCATGGAAAATACAGATATTTTCTTTTCTTTAATTCACATTTTATTCTAATTAAATGGGGGACATATAGTTTTCTTGAACAACTTTAAAAAAATTGAGATTCAAGTTAGTTAACATATGAAAACATGAACGTGTTCAAACCAGATGGTAGGAGGGGTGGAAGGCATTTGAGTAAGGATAATGAGAGGAAACACAGGCATAGTAGTAGGATGGGAGTAGTTCAGGAGTGTTCACTCAGGCCCAGGGTGCTTTTTTTTTTTAATGTTTATTTATTTTTGACAGAGGGAGACAGCACGTGAGTGGGGGAGGGGCAGAGAGAGAGAGGGAGACACAGAATCCGAAGCAGGCTCCGGGCTCTGAGCTGTCAGCACAGAGCCTGATCGGGGCTCGTAGCCACAAGCTGTGAGATCATGACCTGAGCCAAGTCAGATGCTTAACCGACGTTAACCCAGGGGCCCCAAACATATTTTTTAATATATGAAAAAATAGAGAATATAAAAAAGAACAAATGGAAATTGTAGAACTTCAAAGTACCAATTTAAAAAGAATCTCACTAGATGGGCTCAACAGGGCAATAAATGTGATAAAGGAAAGAATCAATGAACTAAACGATAGAACAATAGAAATTATCCTTCCTGGAAAATAGAGTAAATTGACTAAAAAAAAAAAAAAAATAAAGAGACTTAGAGACTTATGTATCAATAACAAAGCACATAATATTCATATCATTAAAATCCCAGAAAGAGTGTGAAGCTGAAAAAATACTTAAATAATGGTGGCTAAAAACTTCTCAAATTTGGTAGAAGTCACAAACCTACCAATTCAAGAAGCTGAGCAAAAACCCAAACATGATAAATTCAAAGCAATCAGTAACAAAACACATCATGAGTAAAAAAATCTGAAAAAAAAAAACCCTCCATACCAAGAAAATTAAAAATCTAAAGAAAAAGAAAACATCTTGAAAGTAGCCAAGGAAAAATGATCCATTACCTATAGACATATCAGCCTAAATGACAGCAGATTTCTCATCTGAAAACAGAAGTGACATGACATTTTTCATGTGCTCCAAAAAAATGAATTATCAACTGTATCCAGTGAAAATATTCCTTAAGAATGAATAGGAAATAAAGAGATTCTCAGATGAAGGAAAACTAAGTGAAGTTATTGCTGCTAGATCTACCTTTAAAGAATGGCTAACAGGGGGCACCTGGCTGGCTCAATTGTGACTCTTGATCTCAAGGTTTTGGGTTGGGTGTAGAGATCACTTAAAAATAAAATCTTGGGTGCTCGCTTCGGCAGCACATATACTAAAACTGGAACGATACAGAGAAGATTAGCATGGCCCCTGCGCAAGGATGACACGCAAATTCGTGAAGCGTTCCATATTTTTCCCTATGACCCAGCAATAGCACTGCTAGGAATTTACCCAAGGGATACAGGAGTGCTGAGGCATAGGAGCACATGTACCCCAATGTTCATAGCAGCACTCTCCACAATAGCTAAAACATGGAAAGAGCCTAAGTGTCCATCAACAGATGAATGGATCAAGAAGATGTGGTTTATCTATACCATGGAATACTACATGGCAATGAGAAACAATGAAATCTGGCCATGTGTAGCAACATGGATGGACCTTGAGGGTGTTATGCTGAGCGAAATAAGTCAGGCAGAGAAGGACAAATATCATATGTTTGCACGTATAGGAGGATTAGGAGGAACTTGACGGAGGAACAAGGGGGAGAAGAAGGGCGGAAATGGTGGGGGAAAGGGAGAGAGGCAAACCATGAGAGACTCTTGAATGCTGACCAAAACTGAGGACTGATGGATGTGGGGGGAAGGGGGGGATGGGCATGGAGGAGGACACTTGTGGGGATGAGCACTGAGTGTTATGTGGAAACTAATTTGACAATAAACTATTTGTAAAAAAAATAAATAAATAAAAATAAAATAAAATAAAATCTTGGTGTGCCTGGGTGGCTCAGTTGGTTAAGTGTCCAACTTCAACTCAGGTCATGATCTCACAGTTTATGAGTTCGAGCCCCACATCAGGCTCTGTGCTGACAGCTCAGAACCTGGAGCCTGCTTCGAATTCTCTCTCCCTCTCTCTCTGCCCCTCCCCTACTCACAGTCTGTCTCTGTCTCTCTTAAAAATAAACAAACATTAAAAAAATTTTTTTTAATAAAAATAAAATCTTAAAAAAAAAGAATGGCCGAAGGAAGTTCTTCAAACAGAAGGGCAGTGATAATAGCAGAAGACATGGCACTTCCAGAAGGAAAGAAGAAAAAAGAATGAGTAAACATGGAACTGTGTTTAGACCAACGCCCTTGTAGTTTTTTAAAAACACATTTGATGGTTGAAACAAAAATTATTATTATGTGATACCTAGTGCA